TAGAGTCTCAGGCAGAGGTCTTTCACATTGTCTATTGCCCAACTGAACCTGGGATATTTGCATGCCAAGCAGATGTTCTACCACTGACCCAGTAAAGTTCCATTCTGTCATTTTAAAATTGAGTCTGGATACAACCTCAGGTCTAGCAACCAGAGGAAGGTGGTGAATGGCGACGGCATGATGTCACTAGCAAAAAAAATTATGGAAGTGATGTCAGTCCTCTCTAGGAATCCCTGGAAACTCTATGGTGAAAACCCAGAGTTTCTGGAGACTAGAGGGAGACAGTGACAGTGTGATGTCACTTCCAGATTGTTTCTATGGTTGCTAGAGAGGGCTGATATCACTCCCAGAAAAACTCTATGGTTCCTAGGGAGGACTGACATTACTTCCGGGGGGGAAATCTGGAAGTGATGTCCGTCCTCTCTAGGAATCATAGAGTTTCCGGCAGTTCTTAGAAAGGGGTGACATCACTTCCAGGTTTTCCCTGGAAGCGATGTCATACTATCTGCTGACATTTTTTTTAAAAAAAGATTACTTCTTGCCCACCAGCTGCATCAGCGGCAGTGGGAAACGGGAACCAAGGGTGAGGGATCAGTCACCCCCAACGGGGTCGTGGCAGCCTTACCTGGAACAAGAGGTGCCACTGAACTTTACCTAATTTTTGAGATAAAGGCTAAGGTGCCTGCTCTGGAAAAAAAATACTTAAAAGAAGGCAATGATTATAAACACTTATTTTTTTTATGCTGTCGAAGGCTTTCACAGCCGGAGTTCATTAGCTGCTGTAGATTTACCAGGTTGTATGGCCATGGTCATGGCACTGTAGAACCTGACGTTCTCATGGCATCCTCAGAGGTGTCAAGAACCTTGACACAGAGGGTACTCCATCTTGGTGTGTTATGCCTCTGAGGATGCCAGTCACAGCTACTGGTGAAACGACAGGTTCTACAATGCCAACACCACGGCCACTCAACCTGGAAAATCTACAGCAACTTATATATTTTTATTATTTATTTATTATTTATTACATTACATTTCTATACTGCTCCTTCCTGGAGGCTCAGAGCAGTTTACACATATACATTTAATCGCCTAACTAGGGCCACATACATATCAGGGGAGATGGATGCCTTACCAGGCACCTACACAGCGTAGATCTTTCTGTGGCGGGGTCTTTGCTAGGACCAGGCGGTAGTGTCCTTCGGCGGAGATCTTTTTCCGTCTCTTCGGCTCGGCTTCCTGGGATGGTCCTTTTATGGCACACGGCTGCATGATGAGATCGCAACTGGTCTCTGTCCCGGAGGCTCTGACCGTGCTTACGTCACCACGCCTCCACGCCACCTCCAATCGCCTCCCGAGTTGCCTGCCGTCTGCCGCCGATCCATCGCCATGTTCTCTCTTTTGCCGGTTTTTGTGTTGTCTTTCCAGAAAACTGCTCTGCGTAGCTCACACAGCAAAAACAGTATAATAAAATAATAAAAACAACAACTGTAAAACAATATCTAAACCAATCTTTGACCTAACCCAGTTTTTTTTATCCCACTCTAAGGAGATCAGGACAATGGATCAGTTTTCTGTATGAGGCAGGTCAGGCTGCACTTAAGTTCACCATGGGAGCTTCATGGTCATCAAATAGGGATTTGAACCTGGGTGTCTCCAGTCCTGGAGACACTCATACTACCAGTCCATACTCCAGTCCTGGAGACACTCATACTACCACACTACACTGGTTCTCCATTTGAACCTGGGTGTCTCCAGTCCTGGAGAATCTCATACTACCACACTACACTGGTTCTCCAGCCTTTTACATCTTATGTGTTCAGGGACGGCACTACTGCTTGTTGCAGAACAGCCCTGCTGACCCACAGGTGTCATTCTGCTTTGGGTCCTCCAAGAGGTCAAGAAACTCAGCAGCCATCCCAGGTCTCCACTTAACAGCACCACCACTCTTCCAAGACCATCCAACTCTCAGAGGGGTTCTTGCTTCTGAGTAGCTACACTGCCACTGGCTGGTCATCCAGAGAATCTCCCATTAAGAGGTCTAGCACTCTCAGCCCATGTCTCAGTCTACAGGCTCTGCTCAGTGCCCACATCTCTTGTTCGCTCCAATGAGCTACAGCAGAGACACCTCACTGTACTTGCAGAGTCTGAGGATCAATCTTTTTTTTTTTGCGCATTTGTGTGTGTGTGTATAAGTGTGTGTGCACATGCCTGGAAGTCACAGCAACCTCTGGTGACTCCTACTGGGGCATGGAGGACATTCAGAGAAGTGGGTTGATAGCCTGCCCCTGCCTGTCGGCTCTGGTATTCTTTGGAGGTCTCCCATCCAAATACTTGCCAGGGTCGGCCCTGCTTAGCTTCCAAGATCTGATGAGATCAGGTTTGCCTCAGCTATCCAGGTCAGGGCAGGATCTAGTGATCTACTGACCAACTGCCTCACTCCCCTAAGGTCCTTTTAGTAACATGTTCAAGTGGGGCTTACCATGGTTATGGAGAACAGACTTGGAATGCTCAAAGTAATAAAAAATTATTTTAAAAAATGTCCACACACATTCTCTGCACAGCAATGGATTGAGCAAGGAGACAAAGTAAAGGTGCATACATGCAATCTTCTATCCCTCTGCTATACATAACCTAATTGTTGTTATTCTGGGATTATTTGATTTACACTTAAGATTGCAGCATGAGAGCTCCTTTTTTGCAAGTTAACAACCCCCCCCCCCCATGGAATCAGCCAAAATGGACCTCATTCTCCTCATGTCAAGGGAATATATCTCCTCTGTTTGCCCCT